AAAACTTATTATAAAACGCTTTGTTGTTTGTAGTTGCTGTTTCTTTTATTTTGTCCCTACTGTGAAATAATAAAAAAACAACAAACAAACAAATACAAAAAACCCAATAAACAAATAAAAAAACATAAAAATTAACACATGATATAAATATGAAAATAAACATAACTTATTCTTGAAAAATAAATACATTTTTAAAAAATGAACAAATAACCAAAAAAATAAATAGGATAATAAACCTGACTAACTTGGAACAAGTTATAACAAACAAACATAAACAAAAATAAATAAATGAACACATAAATGAACAAATATCGCTAATTAAATAGTATAACTAATAAAACTAGGAAGGGAAAGTTTGTGAACGAACTTTAAGTTGGCTTGAAAAAGTCAGTTAATTGCGTTAAACATTAAAATGATTGAAGTCTGTTGACGGTTGTTAAAATGTTGCTAAAATGTTGCTCAGTGGATGTTGCAGTATCCAAGTAGGACGGTGATGCATTGCTAGGTGCTACCGTAAATGCAATTCCACCTTAAATGCTGTGCCACCTTAATTTTAGTGCTAGCTCAAATGTAGTTCCACCTTAAATTCTGTGCCACCTTAAATTTAGTGCTAGCTCAAATGGAGTTCCACCTTAAATTCTGTGCCACCTTAAATTTAGTGCTATGTTAATTGCAGTTCCACCTTAAATTCAGTGACACCTTAAATTTGGTGCTATGTTAATTGCACTTCCACCTTAAATTCAGTGCCACCTTAAATTCAGTGCCATCTTAATTTTAGTGCTACCTCAAAAGGAGTTCCACCTTAAATTCTGTGCCACCTTAAATTTAGTGCTATGTTAATTGCTGTTCCACCTTAAATTCAGTGCCACCTTAAATGTAGTTCCACCTTACATTCAGTGCCACCTTAATTTTAGTTCTACCTTAAATGGAGTTCCACCTTAAATTCTGTGCCACCTTAAATTCAGTGCCACCTTAATTTTAGTGCTACCTTAAATGGAGTTCCACCTTAAATTCTGTGCCACCTTAATTTTAGTGCTACCTCAAAAGGGGTTCCACCTTAAATTCTGTGCCACCTTAAATTTAGTGCTAGGTTAATTGCAGTTCCACCTTAAATTCAGTGCCACCTTAAATGTAGTTCCACCTTACATTCAGTGCCACCTTAATTTTAGGTCTACCTTAAATGGAGTTCCACCTTAAATTCAGTGCCACCTTAATTTTAGTGCTACCTTAAATGGAGTTCCACCTTAAATTCAATGCCACCTTAATTTTAGTGCTACCTCAAAAGGAGTTCCACCTTAAATTCTGTGCCACCTTAAATTTATGCTAGGTTAATTGCAGTTCCACCTTAAATTCAGTGCCACCTTAAAAAGTTATATCAAACAAACATATAAACAAAAACAAATAAATAAATAAACACATAAATCAACAAACATCACCAATGAAATATAACTAATTACATTATAACTAATTAAATGATAAACACAATGTGAGCTTGGAAAAATTAGAATAAAGAACAAACAAACATTAATAAATAAACAAACACAATTAAACTTAAAAAGCACATAGATAGACAAAAAAAAACAAAAAAACAAATAAATAAACCTAATTGGAACCTGGAAACTGTACAATAAATAAAAAACAAATATATTAATGACTCTACCATGAACTTGAATACAAGAAATTGTATTTTAAACAAATAAATAAACAAACAAACATAAAAATTAACACGTAATATAAATATGAAAATAAACATAAATCATGTCACTAATTAAATAATAAACACAATGTGAGTTTGGAAAAATTAGAATAAAGAACAAACAAACAAACAAATAAATAAACAAACACAGATCAATCAAGCACATAGATAGACAAATAAATAAACGTAATTTGAACCTGGAATATATATATATATAAATTGTGTATAAAATAAACAAACAAACAAACAAACAGGGATGTGGTGTGGAGGCATCTGGCTGAGCCTGGCTCTCCACTGGGGTGCTGAGCCGAGTCTGGGGAGATAAATTTGGAGATGATAAAATCTTCCGCGCATGAAGTTCCATTAAAAGTGGACACAGAGATCTTCGCTGATCTTCTCCGCTTTAATCCAGGAGACACACATGCTGCCACCATTAAGATTCCTCAGTCTGCTCATGAAACACTATATTAACGCCAATGCTCAGCGCTCACTGCAGCTTTCAGAGGAATTAAAAGGAGCAATTTGAAAGGCACACGAAATATGAGTCAAATCTAATTTTAACCCATAATAAACCATTCCCATCTTCAGATGGGAGCCATCTGCAGCCTTAAGAACACTGACCACATCTGATATCTGAAAGGCATGAGTTTGAAAATGAGGGAACCGTTCTTCTTTCTACTGTGTGCCACCGTTTTCTGCTGTTACAGTGGAATTTATCATCCAAATATCCTAATCCAAACTCTTTCAGTGTCATTTAAACCCAATATAATCTACAGAATTTAATACTGCGCAATAAAAAGTAGAAGAAAATGAACTTGCACATGCCTGAAATGAAGTCAAATATGTGAAATAAAAGAAAAGTGAATGATAAATTATAGAAGCAGAGCATTAAAAGACCTTTTTGACTGTTGATTCACTGAGTTAAATCACATATGAGGGTGTAAAACTCCATAAAAATGAAAGCAATGATTCACCTGCACTGAGTTTGGAATGTTAGTGTTAATTATTGTATAACAATATAATAATTCTTTATAATAATATATCAATAACATATGTGTTCATGTGTATTTTGGTCCAAAATAATGTTCTCTTCTATTTCCAAGCGTACAAATCCCTGAAAAAGCTGGGTGTATTGTTTTTATTGTCTAAGCTACTTTACTGTGTTAACAGTTCTCCAGTCACATTTGTTTAATCAGTGTATCTTTAAAAAATAGTTCTGAATAGTTGCAAAATAATCAAGTCAAATTATGGGGAAATCTGAGAATTCATGATGCACTGAATCATTTTCTAAAGAATCAGAATCAAACTGAATCAAACCATGCTGAAATTTGAGAATTCATAATGTAGTGAATCATTTTGTAAAGAATCAGAATCAAACTGAATCAAATCAAATTTTGGTGAAATGTGAGAATTTGTGATGTATTGAATCATTTCCAAAAGAATTGTAGATGCACTGAATTGAATCTTGGTGAAATGTAAGTTTTCATAACCTGTACTGAATCATTTCTTCAAGAACTGTCAATCGAACAGAATTGAATCGTGGTGAAATTGAAGATTACATGAGGTGCGAATTCATGATCCACTGAATCATTTCCTAAACAATCATTATTGAACTGAATTGAATCTTGGTGGAATTTGAAATTGCATGAGACAAACTAAATCATTGGCTGGAGAATTGTAAACAAACTGGATTGAATTGTGGTGAAACTTGAAATTCATTAATTGCACTTAATCAGTTTCTAAAGAATCAGAATCAAACTGAACCAAATCATGGTGAAATTCGAGAATTTGTGATGTGTTGAATCATTTCCAAAAGAATAGTAGATGCACTGAATGGAACTGAGGTGCAGTTTGAGTTTTCATAACCTGCACTGAATCACTTCCTAAAGAACTGCAATCGAACAGAATTGAATCTTGGTGAAATTTGAGATTTTATGAGGTGGACCGAAACATTTTGTGAAAAATTGTAATCAAAACTGGATTGAATCGTGGTGAAATCTGAGAATCCTCTGAATCATTTCCCTAAGAATCAGAATCAAACTGAATCAAATTGTGGTGAAATCTCCAAATTCAAGATCCACTGAATCATTTCCTAAACAATCATAATTTTAACTAAATTGAATCTTGGTGGAATTTGAAATTTGTTGATGCATTGTAGTGTTTCACAACTAAATGTACTTGAACTGAATTGAATCGTAGTGAAATTTAGGATTTCATGAGATGCACTGAATCATTTCCTGAAGAATTATAATCAGACTGGATTGAATAATGGTGAAACTTGAAATTTCATGAATCATACTCAATCAGTTTCTAAAGAACCAGAATCAAACTGAATCAAATTGTAGTAAAATCTGCAAATTCATGATCCACTGAATTATTTTCTAAATAATTGTAATTGAACTGAATTGAATTTGAAATTTATTGATGCATTGCACCGTTTCATAATGAATCTTACTTGAACCAATCATGAATTGCACTCATTCGGTTTCTAAAGAATCAGAATCAAACTGAACCAAATCATAATGAAATTTAAGAATTTATAATGCATTAAATCATTCCTAAAGAACTGTAATTGAACTGAATCTTTGTGAAATTTGTGATTTAATGGACTGCATTGAATCAATTACTAAAGACTTGTAAGTGAACTGATTAATGGAAAAATTTGAATTTTATGATTCACTGAATAATTTCCTAAAGAATTGTAATCAAACTGAATCGAACTGTGAAATTTGAGATTTTACGATCTGCAGTGAATCAGTTCTTGAATCAGAATCAAATGGAATAGTTCTGAGCTCTGAGATTTACACCCATAAAGTAAGGTCAGTGTTTTTCACACAGTTTAAATCTTTGCGAAAATTCTCCAATAAGCATTCTTCACATTCGGTCTGGCACTAAGCTCTAAGGTCAATCTGAGACTGTAACACTGACCCAGAGATGGACACAGCCTTGATGGATCACTCTGGTGAAAACGTGTAATTAGCAAATGAGCCTAAGCAGCTATTTTAAACTTTTGCCCCCAGAGCTATTCGGGGGGGCTATGAGAGGTGCTGGGAGATCCCTTAGCCCCTCTGGCGTGACAGATTAGACCAAAAATAGCGATAGTGGTGATGTTAGAGGATCTCCATAAATTTTATCCCAAGGCTAGCAACAGTAAACACTACTTAGCCGTATGCAAATCAGAGCATGAGGCTGACGTCAATGGGGTGGACTTTCCACCAAGTGGTAAAATCTGAGCCATAAGACATTTTAACAAGGCTTTAAGTTTTGTGGAAAGACTTTACAGGCTTTCATTCATCAGCACAGCGTGAGCATCACAGTGGAGAGGTTTCTCTGAGCTGTCTTCTCTTCTGCTGTTCATTTTAGTCGTTTTTTAAAGTTCCTGATTGCTGTTAGTGATGTCTGCCGCCGTGCCTGATGACGAGAAAACTGCTGAAGCTGCTCCAGCCTGGAAGTTCTGCAAGTCGTCCTTGGCGCGAAAGCTGAGACAGCACCTAAACTGTGAGTACAGGTGTGAATATTTACGAGTGAGGAGTAATTAGTGTGGTGAGATGTTGATATGCAGCACCAGCCAAATGTTTGGACCCACCTGACTGGATAACTGGAGACGTTCTGATCTGCAGGCTTAAGATTGAATGCTTGGGTGAATGTAAATGGTGAAGCTGTACGGATTTATGTTAATGTTTATGTGCAAAACAAACATTTTCACTGAACTATATGTTTCAAAATGCCTCCAACAAGAAGTGGTTCTGAGTCAGTGTGGTATGATCATGAGTCTATGTTCTCTACTCCTGTCGGAAAGGCATCTCAGGTGGTTCCTCATGTAGCTGCTTTTCAAATCTATGCTGCTGACGTGAGAAAGAAGAAGGGTCACTTATCCGTATGTTATGGTCTTTCTCATATGTAGCATCTTTCTGGGGGAGTATTATTGAACATCTGTCTAGGATCACGAATGTTAATACACCACTTTCTTTACGACTAATGATTTTAGGTGACACCTCTGAATGCAGACTCAGCCAAAATGACTTTATCCTCTGCACTCGTAGCTAAGAAAACAACTTTATATTCATTCAAAGAGCAACAAGCACCTTCTTTAACTGCATGGAAGTTTTTTTACTGGAAAATGTGGTACCACTTTAAAATAAGACAACCCTTATAAAGCGTTTATGAATGCTTTAAAAGTAATTTGTTAATGGTTCATGATTTGTTACTGGTTAATTGTTCATAAGCAGTTATTACATATTAATAAAAAGGGGCAAAAGCATGCTGTTGTATCTGAAGAACATGGATATGTAATGAAGCTGACAGGTCTAATGCTGACTGATGCAGAAGACAAAGTCAGATCAGCACAAATCTGAGGTTTATAAGTATAAATGAATGAGGGTTCAGTATTAGGCAAACAACAGGTGTTTATGAGTTATTAACCATTAATAAACTCATTTTAAACCATTCATGAATGCTTTATAAGGGTAGTCTTATTTTAAAGGGGTACTAAAAATGTACTACTGGAACAAGTGTCCTGTTTTTTTGACCCAATATGTAAATTATACTGTGAAATGTGGAACAAGGCTGTAGAGTATTTAAACTGACTTGTAGCTTTGTAACACTTTGGTTTATTTCTTATTGTTATAATTATTATTATTTTTTAAGAACTCTGGAAGTAATTTATGTATATTCTCCTAGAGATCTCTAAATGTGCCTGTTTGTTTGTCAGTTACCGTGAAAACAATAAAAAATCAAATCTTTAAATAAATAAATAAATGAATAAATAAATAAATAAAATTAAAAAATGTAGCTGTTTGAGAGAACGCCAGTAGAATCTAAAGCTGTGTCCAGTCAAGGAGTGTGTTTACATGCACTTATTTGATAATCCGATAACTGCAGAAAATCAGATTTTGTCAGTAATCCGATCAACACGTTTACATGCTCTTGAGTAATCAGATGATGGGGAAACTCTGGGTCTACATGAGTCAGACAGTAATCAGATTTCTGCTTTACAACTGGCCAATAAACAATAAACAGAAGAAGACATGATGTAAACATCACATAACCTCAAACTTCATGCGGCGGCTTTTTCTAAAACATCATGCGACTTTATTTGAAAATATGAACATACATCATCTAGAAGATGAAGAATATTTAAATCCTTTATTTCGTGTTTGGTTTCAGCGCCACTCCAACAGTGTTTTGTTGTATCTCGCAGCGACGCTGCTGGTACCGCTGTCTGATCTTGCGCATGCACAGACTGAGAAATCCGAAAGAAATCAGAGTAAGAGTTTACAGGCACTGAGAAATCTGATTACTGAGCTAAAATCCAGCCTCTTTATCCAATTTCTAGATCGGAGTATGGTGTTTACATGACCATTTGAGTAATCGGATAACTTCAGAAATCTGATTATGATCGGATTATTGAGTGCATGTAAACACACTCAAGGGTTGAAAGGGGGGGTATAACGCCATGTGCATTTTTCAGGGATAAAAAAAGTAAAGAGAAACTGTCCTTAAGTGAAAGCAGACTTAATTACATGCTTTCTGACACTGAATGACACACAGTTACCTAAAAACGTCAACAGCTTCTCGCAGGCTGCTAGTGGGTTTAGCTATGCTAATGTACTTTAGTCTGTGTTTATAGAGAACAGTGAGTCATACAGAGTCAGAAACCACATGATCACGACTATTAGAGATACTGGACAACTGTAAAACTGTTTGAGGCAGGTGATAATTTGCATAATGCTAACTGCATGCTACGTTAGCCTCGGAGCTCCAGTGCTAAAACTAAAGAAGCAAACTTCAGACACCAAACATGTCTTGGGGGATCAACTACATGATGAGAAAGGGGGGTAAATGGGCTTCTGTTCCTTTCAATAAGCTGTTAGTAGTATTATCCTGATCAACAGCATTGATATAAAAAAAATTACAGGAAATTCACAACAATATATGACTGGGATATGGCTATTGTTATCATTGTATATTATTCCTATGTTGTATTTGCAACTTATTAAATTTAATAGGAATAGCTATGTATCAATTCTGTAATGATGCTGTCATAATAGCTCATTAGGCTGAATGAATAACCGACTCTAGTTGTAGGTATTGTGATATAAACTGAGTCTGTTCTACAGTTTCTCATTAGGCTGAATGAATAACTGACTCTAAATGTAGGTATTGTGATATAAACTGAGTCTGTTCTACAGTTTCTCATTAGGTTGAATGAATAACCAACTCTAAATGTAGGTATTGTGATATAAACTGAGTCTGTTCTACAGTTTCTCATTAGTCTGAATAGGGATTTTAGCAGCATTCTGCAGAGCTTGTCCAACCTAGCAACAGTAACTATGAAACAACGTGGAGCATGGATATGTCACTGTGGTGCATTCCTCTGGTAGATGTCTGCTGCCGTATCGGGTCAGCCAAGAGCCGCTGGTGTCTGGTCCAGCTGGTAGTAAAGAGTCAAATAGGTGGTCAACTGAGCCCTGTCGTGGTTAAGCTGTCCCAAATTTAGCCGCCTGGAAGCTGTCAGTGAAACTGTATAACACGCTGAGGACGGCTCGTGATCTGGCAGCTCACGGATTTTCAAAATAAGTCTATGGAAGTGCATGTGTCAGTGTGAGTATTTAGATATTTGTGGGGACCAAAAAGTCTCCGGTTAGATGAAAACAGGAACGTTTAGTGGTTTTGGAGACATTAGGCTGCTCTCCGTGAGGAAAAATGATTTTCCCCTCAAAAAATTGTAGATTTTAATAGAAAAAGTAAAAGAGGATTGAAATTGAGGGTAAGTTAATGTTAGGTTAGGTAGAGCATTGGCATTGGCATTTACACCAAAACAAACTCGTGTGTTTATATTTGAGAAGTGTCTCTGAGTGTCATTGAGGTCAGATAGCTCAGAGAGGTCATGGGGTATCGTCCAGAACAGTGGACACAGTGATCTTGGTGTGCAAGCAGGATGAAAATAGTTGCATTCCTACACTGTGAGAAGTAAATAATAACCAAATAACGCCTGAGGTCGTCGTCATTTACATCTGTTTTTGTCTTTTAATAAAATAATATTATGATAAAACACTTCACTTCTGCTCAGATGTCCTTAAACAGCCCATATCCTGCATTTATCTTTTACTGCTATAACTTTTGTACTTTTATTTTATCAGTGAACTAGGCCTTCAATTCGGGCCATAAATGCCAAAACCCGGTCAAAACACGAGGAAAAACCCACCTCAACAATAATGCTAACTTCTGTTAGTGTTCCTTTAGGATTCTAGTAGGTTGTTAGCGCTAAGCTAATGGGGGTTTGCTTGAACACTAGACTCTAGTTGGCTTCTTATTTAAAATGTCCATTCCAACCTTAAACAGTGCAGCGGTTACATACCGGCGCATTTAAGGCTCATTCATACTCATGAAATATGGATATGGATGGAGCCTTCTATCCATAATCTGTGTTCATTTCGTCCATATTTGTGCATGTTTTCTAAAAGCTTATGAATACGGACGAAACAAAGCAGCACCACTAGAAGCTGTGGGGTCAGTGTAGCCAGTAGTTCACGCAAAACACAATCAATTTCCCTCATTGGTAATATAAGTGAGAAGAATTCTCCATTCACATGTCATAAAGTATTTAAAGGCCTCACAGACCACTGCCGTCTATAAAGCGACCTCCTCCACCGGCTCCAGAGCCGGTTTATGAGGAGACTGGCCACTTCCTATTTCCCCCGTTACATCAAAAACAGGACCGTGAGCGAGTCCTCAATAAATGGGAGTAAACAGAGCTAAATTGCTAAAGACAAGAAGTTAAAATAGTTTCTAATCACTGAAGCAGAACTTTCCTTTGATTTTAGAAAGTAGAAGGATGAATTTCACTAAAAAAGCAAAGAAATCTCACCTGTATGTTTCCTTTTTTCTACAGCAAACGGGTTTTGGGCAGCAGGACACTAACATTACTGCTACTGAGTGCTGATTTGTTGGCAACCTGAGCCGCCACATTGGCTGTTCGCGCTCACTGACGTCATGGACGTACATGAGGCGCCGTTTTAAACTCCTATGATTCGAGTTAAAAGCTCTTAAAAAATGTAACAGCAGTGTTAAAATGTTTTACGCTGCTCTGTGTTCAGAAATGAATGCATTCTTTCATGTTAAAAATGTTTGAACATTTATAAACTAAGATTTTGCTCAAATGCTTCATATTAACCCATTCATTTTGGACGTTTCTAGTGTTTGAGAAATCCGGAAGACATTACAGAGTGGAAGTTCTCCTCTCTACAGGTTCTCTGCCGTTGCCATGTTTGTTGTTGTCAGAAACTTTTTATTCTGCACTGCCCTCTAGCAGATGTACTGCTTAACATCCATGCCAGCGTAAAGGACGCATGCAAGTATGTGGGCAAAGACGGTTACATAGTTTGAAATGGATGTGTTCATTTCTGTAAGTAAAGGGGGTATACAAGACCCTTAATGCACCCGAATTTAACCGCTGCATTATTTAAGGTGGAATGGAAAATCTGGATAAGACGCTA